AGTATTTTATATTTTGGCAGTATTTTATATTTTGGCAGTATTTTATGGTCGTTCACTGACCTCCACCTCAACAAACCCAACACTAAGTTCTGGTCTCAGTTCTACAAACGTTCTCGTCACTCACAGCTGCTCATCAGGACATTACTGCCACCTACAGGCTGGAGAGTGGTTTAGAGAATCAACGTGTTGTTGTTTTTATTTATTCCTTCGTCAGCGTTTGAAGCCGACTCCCCCCCTCCCCCACTCCCCCCTCACCTCTCCGTTTGTTCTCCGTTCTTTTCTGCAGAAGAACAAGAAGAGAACCAGGAAACTGGACCAGAGGAAAACCAGCAGCAAAGAACGCGGTCAAAGCCGAGACAGTGAACCCCCGGAAACTGTGAGCTCCACGACGGCACGGGACCGAGCCATCCAGAAGAAGAGGAGGGAGATAGATGAGGTGGGGGGTGCAGTACACACTGGTACACACACTGGTACACACACTGGGCCTGAAACATGTCAGCGTCTTTGACAGAGGGGGCGCTGTTGATCCTCTCTGTGATGGATGCTGTTGTTCTTTCAGTTCTGACCCAAAAATATAATTGTGAAGCTGTTTATCTCTGAACCGGGCGGGGGAGGGGGGGGGGGCAGACACACACAGTCACATGATCACATGACACTCTGCCTGATGGTGTGTGTATTGTTTGTGAGTGTGTGTGTGTGTGTGCAAGTGCCATCTTCTTCACCTACACACTCCACTGCTGCGAAGTACGTACTTTACGACTCACGTACTCACGTACGACGTACAAACGATAAAACGTGTGCGACGTGTTAACCCTTCCATGGACAGCAGTGGGCGCTGTCTGCAGCATCCGGGGAGCGAGGAAATCGTTGCATGTTCAACACAAATCAACCGCCAGGCTGGGACTCGAACCTTAGACCCTCCGGTAATAAGCCTTCTTCTTTTAGACTTCTTTTAGACGTTTTTAGACGTACCTCAGGGTGACGTCGATGTTTTTATGTCAGCTGTTGTTGTTGTTGTTACTGTTTATATCACGGTTTAATTACTGCGTAAATTAACGACTTTTCAATCTCTTTAAAGATTGAAAATATGAGGTGATTAGATTTAAAAATGAACTTTGTTTGGGTAAATATTTTACAAAAATCTTGCTAATTAGCGCTAGCATGTCTGTGATTCTGTCCATATTTGGTTCAGTAACCCTCAGTTTTATCATCGTGTCTTTAACTCGTGGACCGTCCTCTGTTGTCAGCGCGCCGTCTGTCCCGTCTGTCCCGTCTGTGGTCTCAGCTGGACCTGTCTGTCGTTCCAGGTCTACTACCAGGAGTGTGAAATGTTCGGTCTGGTGACAAAGATGTTGATACAGAAGGATCGGTCCCTGGAACTCCTGATCCAGTCGGCGCTGCAGGAGAACCTCCGGGACATCGGGAGGCGCTGTGTAGAGGCCATGGAGAAATTTATTGAGGACTACGACTCGCAGCACTAATCACACACACACAGACGTAAAAGATTGTCAGAACTTTGCTCCTGCTTCGCTGCTTTTTTTCTTCCAGGCGGACGATGATCTGCTGTGAATCTGTGATCGACGTCATGCACTAAGAACGTTTAACAGAGGAGGAGAAGAAGAAACTGCTGAGTGTTTGTTCAAATGATGCTTTTTTAATGATTCCTTTTTAAATGTGTGATGATTTCCTTTTTTTAACAATGAACAAATATTTCTGTAAAATATTTTGTACTGTACGTTTATATCAAATATAATAAAAGTACAGTTTAATCCTAAATTTACACAAACTGGTTTTTTGTGGTACTTCACACTGCAGTAATTAAAATACTACAGGAAGTGAACCTTTGACCTTAAATATATTTACAGACAAATATTCATGTTAGAGCTGGAGAAGTTTAACCTGTTGACGTTGACTTAATGCTGTGATTAATCTGTTTCACATGAACTGCCTCTGGGGGCGGGGCTAAGACTGTTCTGTCCACGCCCCCAACCTTGAGAACCACTAATATAGTAGTTAATACTACACTACTTTGAATTTGTTCTGAGTGTTTTCACATCGCAGAGTGATATTCGCAATTTCATTTTCTGTCCACTAGGGGCAGCGACACAAACAGTCTGAGGTAAACGTTGTGTTCAGACAGTAGTTCTTCCAGAACACATTTGTACTACAAACAGAACATGACATATAAATACTACTCTTTTGGTTTTTGGAGTATTATTTATTTTCAGTATGAGACGACATCAACAAATCAACATGCAGATCTCCCTATCTTACAGTATGGTTTACAAATGATGCTGCTGTGGTGTGTGTGTGTGTGTGTGTATAAACACACACACACACAACACAGCTGTACATTATATTTAGATCACTATGTCTACTTTATTAGTCTTCACTATATACATTTAACAGATATTCTTCTTTAATTTTATTATAAATATTATTGTTAGCAGTATTATGATTTCCCTTGTTTTGGAATTATCTACAGGAAACTCTAAAAAAAAGCATGTTGCAGAAGATAGAAGGGAACCGGACCTGACGTCACTGTGCCTGAATGGTCAAGGAGCAGAAGCTAGGTGGCGCTCTGCTCCTGGTAAAGCGTGGAGAGCTGTCTATGTGGAGCACAAGGTTCAACAGACTATTTGTACAAAGTGAGTCCGGGCCTAGAACGCACTCTTGGTCCCGGCAGCAGGGGGCGCTCGGCCTCCAGGTAAACAACGACGCGTCTCTGAATCCTTGGTTTCAGCTGCGACACGGACGCCGTCCAGGCGGCGTGTTTCCCCTGACACAGACGCACACACACACACACACACTGACACTGTTGAAATGTCGACCTCACTGTGTCCGTCCGTCCGTCCGTCGGATCTGTCGGTGAAACCGATCGACTGTAAACATTTGTGTTGCTGCTGAACTTCCTCTGAAGGTGTGATCACTGTGAGTGTAGGTGTCAAAACACACAAACACACAGTGTGGAGTGATGTAAGCACATGAACCGGGCCCTTCTCTGAGTCCACCACTCACACACACACACACACACTGACACTGTTGAAATTTCGACCTCAGTGTGTCCGTCCGTTTGTCCGTCAGATTTGTCGGTGAAACGGATCGACTGTAAACATTTGTGTTGCCGCTGCACTTCCTTCGAAGATTCGATCACTGTGAGTGTAGGTGTCAAAACACACAAACACACAGTGTGGAGTTATGTAAGCACATGAACCGGGCCCTTCTCTGAGTCCACCACTCACACACACACACACACACTGACACTGTTGAAATGTCGACCTCACTGTGTCCGTCCGTCCGTCCGTCGGATCTGTCGGTGAAACCGATCGCCTGTAAACATTTGTGTTGCTGCTGAACTTCCTCTGAAGATTTGATCACTGTGAGTGTAGGTGTCAAAACACACAAACACACAGTGTGGAGTGATGTAAGCACATGAACCGGGCCCTTCTCTGAGTCCACCACTCACACACACACACACACACTGCCACTGTTGAAATGTCGACCTCAGTGTGGCCGTCCGTCCGTCCGTCCGTCGGATTTGTCGGTGAAACCGATCGACTGTAAACATTTGTGTTGCTGCTGAACTTCCTCTGAAGATTTGATCACTGTGAGTGTAGGTGTCAAAACACACAAACACACAGTGTGGAGTTATGTAAGCACATGAACCGGGCCCTTCTCTGAGTCCAACACTCACACACACACTCACACACACACACACACACACTCACACACTCACACACACTCTCTCTAGTACCCACTCTGTCAATTGTCTCACTCTCACCTTCCAGGATCATAGGTAAACTGTCCCTCTCTCCCCCCCCCTCTCTCTCTCCCTCTCTCTCTCTCTCTCTCCCTCTCTCTCTCTCTCTCTCTCTCGCCCGTCATCTCTCCTCTTCATATCTAGGAAATGATGCAGTTTTTGCTCTTCCTCCTCTGTCGAGTGTGAAGCTGCCCGTGAATCGGTCCGTGCAGCGGCCCGTGATGGCCGCCCATTCCCGAGGGCGTGTAGCGGTGGCGCAGTTCTTCGTTATTGATGTAGCACAGCTGCACCGGCCGAGGGATCGGTTCTCCCAGGAAATAAGCCTCATCTGCCTCTGACTCGGAGGACGAGGAGCAGCTGGAGCACCAAGTGTCGTTCGTCCCCACGTACCCGTCTCCCCAGCACGGCCCCCCCAGCCCCACGTGCTGCCAGCCAGCGTTCTGCAGCGTGAGCTCAGAGGTGGTGCGGGGGCAGGGCTGGTGCGCCGGCTGCCGGTGCCCGTCCGGCTCCATGCCAAACAACTCCCTGGCGGCGTGACCGGCGGGGAAGCGGTCGTAATCCTCCTGCACCCGGCGGTACGGGAGCTCCACCACCTGAGTGGGTCTGTCGGCCGCCAGGTGCAGGGCGTTGTCCGAGCGCGAGCGGCGAGAGCGGCTGTGGTGCCGCCCGCTGCAGTGCGGTCTGTTACCGTGGCCTCCTCTGTGGTGTTTGCGGAGCCGGGGCTGTGGCTGCAGCGGTTGGCTCACGGACTCCTGAGCGTTGATGCGGCGGCGGGGCATTCGGTCGCTCAGAGGAGCCATACGAAGATTCCCGCTGCTGTCCATCACGCCGATACAGCGTTTGACGTCGTAGTCCAGCGGCTGCGGGCCGTTCCAGTACTGCAGCGGGTAGCCACACTTGAGGGGCGTGTAGGCGTTGTTGTTGTTGTAGGGCTGAGACGAGGACAGCGACTCTGTGCTGTGGAACTGCACCGAGGAACTAAGGGTTCCCATGGTGCTCTTCTCTGACACGTTCACTCCGGAGTCTTTACTCAAATCCGGCATGGAGAACCTGGACAAGTTCTCCTGGCGCTTACTGACCCCGTCCAGAGAGTTACCTGTGGAGATCAACACGTGGTGTGACATGTTCACATTAGTCAGTCCATCAAATGTTGTGTCAACAGTTTGATCAACCTACTGTACCTGTAGCAGCGGGGACGGTTATGCTGTCCATGGATCCGTGAGGAGTCTGTTCTACCGGCGTGAGCGGCTCGTTGAAGCTCATGGTGGTGATGGGGTTCCTCCTGGTCAGTGGAGGTCTGCCGTTCCTTTGAAACCCATGAAGGCTGATGCTCCTTTTGTCCGAGATGCCCTGGTTCTGGCTCGACATCTCGTTGAAGCTCATCTGGGTGCGAAGCTTATTAGGTCTGAACCCGTCCTGGCTGTGGTGGATCCAGTTGTCGTTAAAAGAATGGCCCCTCAGAGCAGCCATGGGCGTCCGCTTGGGATTGCCTTGTTCCTTGTCCCAGGAACCCGGTCTGTTTCCTTGGTTAACGGGGTTCTGGGGGGGAGGGTGAGCGTTGGTATTGGGTCCAAAGCCTTGTCTTAGGTTACACTGGCCCAGCATATGGACGGATGTGGGGGCGGGGGAGGGGTCATGCTGCGGCCCATCAAAGCTCGCAGGCACATAAGGCTCATCTCTGCTCATCCACACCTGGTTAAGGCTCGGGGCGCGACTGGGCGTGCGACTGGGCGTGCGATTGGGCGTCCTGCTGGGCGTCTGGCTGGATGAAAGGCTGAGGCGGTCCATCGGCACGGACAGTGGGTCGATCTCTACCGATAGTCGATCGGGCTTGGGGAGAGGTGCTGGTTGGCGGACTTCGGCGTTGCGTCGCTCCTGATCTGCATTTCTGCCGTCCTTCTTACCGCTCATCGTG